ATGTTAAATAAAAGTAATTACTTTAATTCATTTAGTTAAATAAGTCAATTAGTTTGTTGAATTTCAATCAATAAAAGAACAGAACAAAAACTGATGAAAATATTAAACGAAACATTTTTAAACTATTTACACAACAAACATAAAAAAACTACTGGAAATATTTCTGTCAGTTGAAATTGAAAAAGTGTTTCAGTGTTTTCACGTGTCTCACATTATATTTTACTATATTATATTATATTATATTATATTTTATTATATAAAGACATAAAGAGTCACTTCTGACTAAACCTAACAGGAAACGTTGGTTTCACAACAGGAACATATTAAATTAATATTACAAACACATGAAAGTCTCACAAACGGTTTTAAAAGTTATTGATCTTTGGATCAATCAGATGAATTGATGGATTATGGATCTATATTTGGTTTATTAAACCTCTGCGACAGAAAACCAGATGTTTTAGTGATGAAGCCACAAACAGCTGCTGATCTTCTCTATCGATGAAGTGACAGAGGAACGTGTGAAATAAACGTGATTGATCTGATTCGTCCTGATCATCGACAATCACATGTTTTATCAATATTCAATAAGTTTAATGAGCTTAATATTTAATCCGTTTAATGACTCAGGTTCGTTCACATTATCTTTAATCACGGTCTCCTCTGGTTTCCATAGTAACTCACCGGAGCCCGTCTCCTCCCGGTCTGACCTCAGTCCTGGATCCGCTCAGCGATGCTCGGCTCCGGGCGTCGCTCCGCAGAAAGCCGCCGGTGAAACTCCGCTCAGTCCCGGTGAGTCCGTGATGAAGCCCCGTCTACTGCCCCCCCCCCCCTCCAATCAGTGAAGGGCTGAACACCTCTCTCACTCTAATTAATTCTGCTGTGTGTGTGTGTGTGTGTTTGTGTGTTTGTGTGTGTGTGTGTGGGTCGGTCCTCACAGGAAAACGCCACAGTGACCTCTGCTGGTCACTTCCTGTCTGTGTTCACCTGCTCAGGTGTTGATAACAGCATCTGTTGCCATGGGAACATCTGTCTGTGAGTATTGTGTTTAATACTGACTCAATAAATCGATATGAAACTCTGGCGTGCAGGAATGCATGATGGGAGATGGAGTTAGTTTGTGGCACTGCAGCAGCTGGGTCCGTTACAGGTTTAGTGAAAGTGAGAGTCAGTTGCTATGGCAACACGAAGCTAACCTGGTTGGGGGAGCAATCAGACATGTCGTCATCTTCTCAGTCAGAGACACAATAATCACTTGTGATTAACCGTCACAGAAACACGTCTTCTTTATTTTTAGGTTGAAACAAATGAAGTCCAGCACCTGATGATCCAGATGTGTTTCTGTCTGACGTTCGGCTGCTTCACTCGAGCTACAGGAACAATCAGCTCTCCTCAGTGACGTTGTCGCTCGTTGTGTCTGTGATGTGAACCAGGTCAGTTGTCTGTGGATGTGGGTGAACTCTCCCTCACTGTCATGTCCAGTGTCACTCGCTCGGTGAGAACAAGGTTCCACATTTATCACAGAACGTTAATGAAGAACACGACTGGATCCTGTTGCTGAGCGAGAACCTGAGTCTTGATCTCACAGTTCAACTGATGTTTTAATGTTCAGTCACAAACGTCGACCTGCGTCAGGCACACGTGACTTTAAACATTAAGACGTTTTCATTTAGACAAACTTATATGATCGACTTTACATTTGAATCAGTTTGAACATATTTACAGATTTTATTTACAGTGAAACACGTGAACATGTCTCCTTCATCCTCAGCCGGCCGATTGGTCACTGTCTCTGAAGCCGTCAGTGGTGATCTGGTATTGGACGGTGGCGTCCGCGTGACTCGGAGATTTAACAACGGTTGCCAGGCGTTGTGACCCTGACCACTCTAGGAGGAGTCTGATGTTGGAGGCGTGGCCCCAGCTATCCCCTAGGGCAGGGACCAGCTGTGATTGGCTGCCCCGCAGCCGTGTGGTCATCTGATTGGTGATCACAACGGCAACAGTGTTTCTGGTTGCCATGGCAGTAAGCTGCTGGGCGAGGCCGTAAAGAAGGCGTGTCCTCTGTGACAGGTCGTCAAACCGTCTAAAGGGAAAGGCCACACTGTCAATTACCAGGAGGCGGACCCTCGGATGATCTGACAGGAAGTCAGGCAGCAGGTGAAGCTCCGCCAGCAGCTCCACGTAGTCATGACAATGCACCTGAGAGACAAGCGGCCAATCAGAATCAGTCTTATTAAAACCTGAGTGAGTTCTGTTACCATGTCGACCTGTTGTCATTACCAGGAAGATGTTGGACAGGATATCCTCCACGGCGAAAGTTGTCATGGCGACACGCTGCTCGTCATCTTCGACCAATAAGGAGCAGTGTCTGACGGCAGCGGAGGCCAGGTCGGTTACTCTCTGCAGCAGGAAGCTGCCCTCTGTGTCGATGTAGACCACCTGACCTCCGACCCCCCCGAAACACTGAGGCACCTGGACGTCCACCGCCAGCTGCATACTGATCAACACAAAGGTCACGTGATCAGTGACATCAGCAACACCGACACTGGCAGGTCAACAAATTTAAAGTGAATGTGTGTGAGTGTGTGTGTGTGTG